CTATTATAAAGATTTCTAAAAACTAGTTAAAATTTAAATATGTAAAAATGTAATAAAATATATTTTGTTCTCAATATGCTTTAAAAAAATTAGATTACATTGAAGTAATTTTGTTACTTTAACTGTCACTATCAACTATTTTAAAAGTTATTTAGAATTCACTCTTTTTAGAAATCTTTATAATAGAAAGTCATCTTTATTAAGGCAAATCAGTTTGAATGCTTCTTTCAGTCGCAAGCAAAATAATTTTCATGGACATCAACATACATTCTCTCCACAAATAAAGTTCAATATATTTATAGTACATCTATTGCAAATTCCAAGATCAAGAATATTGCACAATTTTAGTGATCTCAAGCATAATACCATGATATTTCACTGTTTTTGTATGATATACTTTAATTTTGGGCTCCAAAAACTGAAATATTAAGTTATATATTTTGCAATCTTATGAGATTTGATTGATTTAGTTGTGAGTGTCATGTTTGTTATTATCTTCTGCCATCTCCTATTACTTAATTAAAAATATTTTTTTCCAAATAATATGATGATCATTAAATTGATATCATCAGGAATGAAAAGGAAAAAGATTAATAATATATTGATTCACATTCTTTCCTAGTCTTTAATTTCTCATCACTGTGAAGTGGTAGAGTAAATCAAAAGACAGGCTTAGAAGGAAACATTTTATGTAGTACATTTGATGCATGGCAACACATCACTTGCCATGTATCAGCAAAGCGATAGTTCAACAGATTTTTTTAAAGTTTATATATTGCAAAAGGGTATAGCTTCCAATAAACTTGGTTTGTAAAGATGCTGTATATTATCTCCATATAGCTCTCAGGGATATATTTCCATTAAATTTGCATTGAAAGCATTGGTTTTCAATCCTCAAGTTGCAAATATTTTTGGATTAAAATGCCCATTATCCTCAATCATTGCCCATGCTATTTGTGAACAATGTAGCTGAACAGAATAATATGTGAGAACCAAAGACACTGGATTCCATAATGTAACTTTGCATTGTTGGGAATTGTAATGCCAAAAACTGACCTCAAATTCCAAAAATAAAAGAATCTCTCTATGGTTCATAATACAAATAGGTTTCATTTTTCAGATTGTGATAATTCTAGGATAACATAGAATTAAGCACAGGGAGAAAAGCAAGAATGAAAAAAAATGATACCTCTTCTGCACCAACAGCACTTCCATTTTGCACTGGTTCATCATTGGGTGGTGTCACTTCCACTTCAATTTTTTCTGAAGTATAAACAGAAGAAAGAAATGTAAAACGGAAGACCAATCAGTCTTTTATTCAATTTATAAATCACCCAACTCCATATTGACTCTGGGCTAATTTGGATTATGCCCATGCGTTACTTTCACTGAACAACTGAATGCAAGTATCTTATTTTTTGTAGTAAGTTTCAGTTAAAATGCAGAGAACTAAATACCCTATATATGAAAGACAAACTGAAATGTTGACATGGGTTGAAATAGCTGTCTTATACTAAGCATCATTATTCTGAAGAACTGGTTTAAGTAACCTTATTGGGAAATGTAGGTTTAACATATAATTTGTTTTACCTGTTCAGTGAAAAAAAAAGATCATTCAAGCCTTTTTCCTCAGGAGTCAGTTATAACAATAATTGCGTTTTAATTGAGTATAAATTAATTTGGATAAACAAGTGGTGAACTGCAAGTAAGGCAATCTACATTGTGACAAAATGGAAACATATTGGCAACTGCAACTCCTGTAGTAATGATGTTACATGAGTTGAGTATCTGATACCTATGCAGATGCATTTTGCAATAATTAAAGCTTCCAAATACTTTTCAAGAGCAGCATAGAGGGTGTTATAATATATACTAGTCATATTATTGACCTAAAGTAAGTTTAGTTGCTTTCAGATGTATATCACAATGATACACATATACACAACTTTGCAATATATTGTGAAGGTTCCAGAGGAATTTTCCAATAAATTAACATATCAAAAAAGCATTTTAGGAGGACAGCCATGTTAACCTATGGTAATGAAATAAATATCTGTTTTGAAGGAAACAAAGCTGATCTCTTATACTTACCAGCATTTTTGGCTCTTCCGTTCCGTTGTTCACCATCTATTTCTGGGGATTTTTTGGCCATCTTATGAAGAATAGATGCCCTTTCTTTGAACTTTCCTACAAAATATACACATCTTTGTTAAAGCATAGTTATTTCTCAGCCACTGCTTCACTTTTTATGCATTTAGTGGTAGCATGTCACTCTGGATTCTGCTAAGTTGGTCTGCTCCCTACTCCAAACTTTTCCCAGCAGAAATAATAAGTATTTCATTTCAAAATATGACATAGATTTAAGCTTTCCTATTATCCTAAACTAGATGGGTAGTTCAAACATAATGGTAGAAAATTAGCACTGAATAATAGCTACCAATCTTAGTATTTGTAAGGGAAGGCAAAAGAGAGACATTGCTTTGGTCCTCTTTTTTTACATGCCTATGTTACAGATTACTTATATGAAAATCTCTTATTTTCATATTAATCTAGAAAAAATAATGGTTCATTACATTAGAAGCAATAAAGCATTGAACAGGAGATGATAAGTATATACCTGAAAGCTTAGATACCTCATTATGAAATAACAATATTTAAGAAGTGTAATAGTCACCAATACAATTGATTTTTCCCCAGGTAGGACACTGGCACATATATCCTTTCAAAAGAATTGCTATTATGAATAGAATTAACATTTCAGAGATATTTCAGAGTTATTATTACAGTTTTTCACAGAACAATATATTTAGTTTAGCTAACACAATTTGAAAATATCAGCATTTAAATAAAAGTAATGCAAAAAGATACACAATATTTCACAGGGTACACAAATATTACACTTCAAGAAAAGAAAGGCTATTTAAATAGTTATTTCAAAGAAAAATGCTGAAGACAGAAATAAGTAGTCTGGTCATTCCTTTTATTTAACGTATAAATGGAAAAATCAAATCTAAAATAATAGCATCAAATTCTCAAATAACATACATTTGCATTTGAATAAAAAATCAGTAGTGAAGAATGCAGAAAGCAAAAATGTAAATTTTCTCTCCTGGAACTTGAACAATCTCATTATGTGGTTTCCTTTATAACGGTGCAATACTGCAGGTACTGCTCCTGCTGTCATTAGACCTGATGTATACATTGTTGCTGAGTGATAGCGGCAGACTGTCATACTTCCAAAAATGATATGATAGCACACGTAATTCCATGTTAACCTTTCAGACATAGTAGAGGACTAGGAGAACTAGGAAAATACAAAATAAGGTGGAATTTATCTGAGATTAATAAGTTTATCCCTTGAAGAATTTGTCAGGAAATCAAATATCTTTGCTTCCTTCATCTTGTTCAGTCATTGTTTGTTCAAATAGCTATCAGTCCTGTTAACATTAGAATATCATAACTATCAAGCAAAATTTTGTTAAAAGAGTGAAATGTTGACTGAAATATTTAATCTTAGATTTGTCAAATATAAGTGTTCTTTTTAAAAAATGGAGTAAAAAAGCAAAAGTTACCTTATGGTAAGATGGGCAGCAAATAAATTTTATAAATAAATAAATAAATAAAAGAGCAGCCTACAATTTTTTTCAATTATTCGTAGGCTTATTTAAGCAATGTACCTTAATTTTTTTTCTTTAAAATACTTTACATAAAATAATTATGATCATTTGAAAAGATGCTATATTATCAAGGAGAAATAAATTCTAAAAAAACCCCCAAAATAACCAGAGACATTTGAAGAAAATTGTAAGAATGCCAAAAATAGCAACATACATGTGGTGTCAACACGATGCAAATATGAATGATGCAAATATGCATCATTGTGTGAATAAGTTGGAATGTGTATTTGCTCCCTATTGCTCCTTCAGAAAAACAATAGTTAAATAGAAATATTTCAGAAATGATGCTACATTTCAAGGAAGAAATTATTCTGTAGCACTGCTACTGTCATTTCCTGTTTTAAACCTACTAAAGCACTAAAACACATTTCATTATATGAGACAAGGAATACTTTTTAAGTTAAATGACTATGGATTCATTAAAAAAAAGAGTTGAATTTCACACTGCATTCACCAAGAAACATTTGTTAAACACACACTTATCTGGTTCATAGAGGAAAGATTTACATGATTCGAAAATAAATCAGAGTTCTAACAAGGCAGCTGAGCAGCTGAGACAAAAATGATAGGGGCAGTAAACGGAAATTGGAAGGTGGGGGAAAAATTAAATAATTTTCTCTCTTTCTCTCCTGTTCAGATTCTTTTGTATATCTGCCGTCTTCATTGTATTTCCTTAAAATGGTAAGAAAAACATATCCAGGTGGGGTAGACAGGAGAACATTAACACTCATCTCTCTTCAATACCTTTTATATATCAGAGAAATATGATATTGTTTTGCAAGTACACTGAAAATGTCAGAGGCTCCTGGATAAGCAGTGATGCTGCATAAACACCATCAAAGCCGAATGGTCCTTCAACAAAGAAATATAGCAGAATTAAAAATGGAGTCACCCAGGTTTTAAAAGCTGCTTCTCCCCTTCTGCTGCCTGTGGAATTACAAAAGGCTTAGGAAAACAAAGTACTAAATCAATCTGATGCTGCTCAGTTTCTCTCTATTTCACATGATTTTGCAAAACTGTTGTCCTAAAGTACAGATGTGTTAAGGCAATAATATACGCAACTCAGATGTTATCCTTTCATTCAATGACTTTCTGAATAACAAATCACAGTTCAGCATCTAATAATCATACAGACTAAGAATATATAAAGATAAAATAAAGGAAAAATGCTCTTCTTGAAATTCAAATTCAGCTTGATTTTCAGTACAGAAAGAACTGAGAGTATTTCTGGTGTACTTTTTGTCACTTAGTCCTGTAAACTGTTAAATGGTTGTTCACGTGTTTAAATACAGTAACACAATTCTACAGCAAGACTTGAACCAATTTCTACCTTAATGACATGCCTGCAATACCTAGCACTAGTGAGCTTCACTGCTTTTCATTTTCTAAAATCTCTGTGATGACCTTTATACACTAATTCTTCTGATGTTCAATTCTTATGTTTCTACTATAGAAAGCTAAAAAATGCAGCACATCAACCTGTTCATGCATTCATGTGCTCTCCTAAATACATGAAATTTAATAACATTTTCTAATATGAAGAAGGTATATAATTAATTTATAAGAAATTTGGCAAAAACACTAATATTTACAAATATCTATTTGTGGAACTAAAAATATCAATTTTTAACTTTTTAATATAAAAAACAATAACCATGATGAACAATTTCCCTAAATGTTAATAAAAGTAAATAAGCTCATTTGAAGAATGCAGGGTTAAAAATATGTACAGTTATTTCTTATCTGTTGAACATTTATCAATATTATATAAATACTCTTAATATTATGTTGATCATATACGCTGCATGAAAATAAAATTTTAAATGCAAGTTAGTAAAAAATATTAAAGGGTTAAAAATGGTAACACATCACATTATGACACTGATGTCATGCAGAGAGGAACTGAAAGAAAAAAAATAACCATGACAGGTTTTTTTTAATAAAAATAAATAAAAAGGCTGACACAAAAAATCTAAAATATTTCTTACCTTCTTCAGTCATTGTGTCATAATATTTTAGCTTTCCATATGATCCAAGCTCTACAACATTATAGTAAAAGACAACAGAGATAAGGAACTCTCAGACATTCAAGGTAATTGACATGCTTTCATACATTCTTAATCAATTCCATAGCAGTAACTTTTCTATAGAGTAGATTTCAAGTTGCTGAAATCCAAAATTAATTGTTTTTCCATAATTTAAAAAATAATAATTAAATATTCTATAATAAGCATGTTGTGCAAAGTGCTTTAAACACAACTGAACATGCAAGCAGAATAATCTTTCTTCCTTAGTCCTACAATCTGCAATTTGTATTTTCTTATTATATCGTTAGGTATAATGAAAAAGTGTTAGATTTTGTCTCGGTAAGATGGTCCAGTCTCTTCAGGATACTTTAGATGTAAATGTAGATGAGTGAAATTGTGTATTATTTAAAAGTTTCTGGACCAAAAATCTGTCTTTTCAGAGATATGAGAAGCCAAAAAATAGCATTCATGTTACTGAATTAATGTATAAATAGTAATAGCACTGAGACTTATATACCGCTTCATAGGGCTTACAGCCCTCTCTCAATGGTTTACAGAGTCAGCATATTGCCCCCCAAAACAATCTGGGTCCTCATTTTACCAACTTCGGAAGGATGGAAGGCTGAATCAATGTTGAACCAGTGAGAATCAAACTGCTGACAGCCAGCAGTCAGCAGAAGTACTTGCAGTCCTGCATTCTAACCACTGCGTCACCATGGCTCAAATAAATATATATTCTCGGATTATTAAACAGTTTTGCATATTTCTATAATTAACATTACTGTAGGTAAAATCTTCAAGATCTTCAACTGTGCACTTATGAAACTTCTATTCATTAGAATTTCATTTAAGAAATGAAAATGTAAACAATTCTCTACTTTTTTGCAATATCAGAAGAATATTTTTTTTCTTTAACCAAACTATATGATTTTTTTTTGATAAGGGTAAACAATTAGTTTTAATGGTTTTTTAAAATTGTAATGATTTATGACAGAATGATTGAAGATCAATTAAGACATAAAAAAGGAATTAACAGAATAAGATAAATAAAATAAGAAAGGATATACATAAAATACATGTAATTAATATAATATAATTAACTCATATACTCTATTTTATTACATAATATAATTCTTATAAAGATTGTCTAAACTGCTGGCATCATACGAGTCAAGTAAATGACCTTTTCACTTTTCCCAAATGAACTGTCAGCTCAAACATAAAATAAATAAATGTTGATTAGGGCGCTAAGAAACAGGAAGAGACTCCCATTGTTTGTTCCCCTCATCAGATCTCTTAAAGAAGGATGTTCTGGGTCCCTTCTATTAAACAATGTTGAACCGCTTGTTGAACCGTAAAGTTGTGTCTTCTCAGTGCCAGTGCTTGGCCGATGTCACAGCATTCCCTCAAAAATTTGTATGGCCGTAAACCTTTTAGCCTTTTTAAGACACTGAAGACCTGGCTGTTTTCCCCATGCACTGGAATCAAGTGGAAAGATGAGTTCTCCTGTTTTAGAAATGTTTTTTCTCCCCTCTGAGCAATGTAATTGCTTATCCTTGGATCTTGGGGAAATATATATTGCAAGTTTCTGTGCGAGTTTATGTTGCGAATTTCTGTAAGACATACAGTGTTACATGAGTAGTATGGGTGGCTATATGGAACATTCATCAAAAATTAAATACATAAAAATAAAGTAAGGCCTCTGGAAGATAAGACCTAGAAAAAAAAATAACACATCAATAATAACTTAATTTAGGAACATAGCTTTTCTCCAACTCAATGAGCTATATTGTCTATATAGTGCCATTCTCATTATCCTCATCATGCATCATCATACATGTTCAATTCATTTAAGGTTAAATACTCAATACATTCTTCCACTGAATTGATCAGTGTATATTGTAATTTTCAGAAATGTATATAATAGGATTGTAACCCTGCCCTTCTTTAGACTGTACATCTGATTCCCAATATTAAAAAGTCTATGAAGAAATTTCCTTTTCTAATCACCTTTGATTTTCTGCAATAATAGTTTGGTATCAATAGCAGATTCATTTACTTATTCATCTTCACTCTCAATAATTCTGTTTACTTCTGTTTCCTCTGATTATTTTTAAAAGTCCATAGTAACCATAGACAAAATTTCATAATCAAAATTACATTTTAAAGAATTACCTTGATTTCTGAAGCATTGCTTGCCTAGATTACATATTCATAAAGTGTATAAAATTGAATGCTAGTTTTAATATCAGCAGTTATTCCATTTGATCCATGTGTTATTAAACTATATTCAGTTCTTGTAACTATTTCTCAGTTGTAAATATGCCCATTTCTGAATGTGTATATTCTAGGAGCACCTGAAGGAAATATACTTTCCTTTGTTTTCTAACTAGCTTCAAACTGAGCACTCTTTCTGCTCTCTTGCTTTACTTTTTGGCTGTCTCCTGGCTCACTATGGCTATGAAGGGACTTCTTCCTCACTTTATGTGTTCAATATTGAGAATCCTTGAGGGAAGTCTTTTCCTCTTATCTCTTTCTACATATTGTATTTTATTCCTTCTGACTTTTTAATCCCTAGAGCCGTTAGATAGGAAGAGGGAATAGAGATGTCAGACAATGTGTTCTGATCGGCTTTTGACAGGCCAACAACTACTTGAAAGATGAAGTTTCATTTGTGCTTCTGCTTGTCTGGTGACAAGGGACTATAGATGAATTTATTAAAGAGGTAGATTGGCTCCACTAGAAAGCTGCCCCATCCTATCCTAATAGCAAAAGCAAAAGCACTTCACAGTGCTTTACAGCTTCTCTAAGTGGTTTACAGGCTCAGCATATTGCCAATCTGGGTTCTCATTTTACCGACCTTGGAAGGATGGAAGGCTGAGTCAACCTTGAGTTGGTGAGACTCGAACTGCCTAACTGCAGTCAGCAGATGTAGCCAGCAGTACTGCATTCTAACCACTACACCACCACGGCTCTTAAGCTAAAAGATGTCCTACATTTGAGCAGGCTCACTCTTTCTTCTTCATTTTCTATATCGCTTCAAGTGATATATTTCTTTTCTCACTAAAATGACTGAAACAGTTAGCCCACAAAGTAAAATTCTGTCTTAACTTCTTAACAACTCATCTTAGCATTAATTAGACGCTACCCAAAAGGGGTGCCATTAAAATAATGCATGAATGCAAATAAATGAATAGATTTGAATTGTTGGTCAAGTTTTTATTAAAATCTATGACACACCTCAAAATATTATATTGGGGTACATTATTATAATGTAGTAAGATTTTTTTAGGGTCATCAGCACAGTATTTAAAACAGAGATGGAATTCAAAACATCTCCTGCAAAATGCATTACAATATCTGTTCTCATTTCTTGCTCAGTTGAAATGACAGCAACCTGAGATAAAGATGCAATCTTAATTCTAGAAAGATAGCTTGGTTTAAATTCTTATCTAGGATGTTAAAAAAAACCTGGTGAATTAGGAAAATATAAAATCTAGAAGGGCTAAAAATAAATGTCTGTGAAATAGAATGCAATTATTAAAAGAAGTACTATAAACTAAACATTTTCAGGAAGATAAAAACTACCTGGAAAGACTAAAATATATATAATAAACCAAAAGTATATAAAATATAATAATTGAAATCCAAGATGATTCTAAAAAAAAGGATTATATGCCCAAAACATTTAAGAGAAAGTATATTAGATAACTAGCATTTTTTTGTAAACATTTTATCCCATTAATAGTAGGGACATGAATAAAATTCTAAAATAGAATTCATATTAACAAACAAAAAAGAATTGAGAATTAAGCATTAAAGCAATATGAACATTGCCTTTTCAGTACATTATCGGTACTGCTAATGAGTCTAATGATGTAGAATCCATGCTATTAATTTAAGACTGAAATCATTATACTATCATGAAGTAATCTATATATTTCATTTAAAATTCTGACACCACAGATAAATATGTACCTCTCAAACTATGCAAAAACAGTTACTGGATTGGATTAAAATCTGCTAGTTCCCCTGTGAATAGAAATTCCTAGAGAGACAGTTCATTAGACAATGTAATTAGGATGTTGTTACTACCAATTCCTTCTTCCCATTTTGGTACCCAACATCAACTCTCCCTTTACAGCATCTGTCATGACAACTGCGTGAAGGAAGAAATTGGTAAAAATGTCACATCACTCTATCAAACACAATTCAGCAATGTCCATGATTCATCCCATTGTAATCAAATTCTATGTAAGCAGAATAGAGCAAGTAGATTTGTATCTTGATAAATATTTGTAATGCACAAATAAAACACATTCAACATTTTGCTCAGTGGAGTATTGCTATACTATACTATTCACAGTATAGGTTTCAAACATAAGTGTAGGAGATGGCCAGATGGATCCCAAAGGTGGGGTCAAATGTGTTATCAGTTTGGAATACCTATGCAGCCACAAGAGGACCAAAGTCAAGCCCCCTGTGAATTCCATTTACTCTTATCTCTTATCTTGCCTTGACCATTAATAGATCACATTCTTGGGTATAGGTAGCATGTAATAAACTTTTAGTGCTTTGAATTCAACTCCTGTTCTCTGCTTACTTGTGCCCAACAATAAAGTTTCATTCAAATTATTTTATAATGATAATGGCAAGTACATAGTAATTAACAGAAACTTTAGGGTTGCAACTTAAAATAGATACTTTTCTGATATGCTCCATAGCGAATTATGAACCATTAAAAAGCAACTTCACAGATTGTTGTGTTTAGAATGTTCAATATATCTTTCCTTAAAGTAAGGGTTTTTACTAAATATAATTCCACATTCATGGCATTCGGTATTAGTTCTTCATACATAAAAAATTAATTAACAACTATGATTTTCAATGAAGATGAAATGAGAGAGGAAAGGAAACAGACTAATCAGAAAAATAAAAATGGTTCACATTATGCAATGTAAAACAAGATGTTACTTTCCTATAATTACTTTCTTAGTGTAGAAATAGCAATAGCAATAGCAAAGGTGTGAGCAAGGATTCAACTTATAGAATAGAATGCATATAGAATTTGGTGTTGGTCAAAATATAAGTTATTATTATCTTACAGGATATTGTAATAAAAAATGACAATACATTGCTGTGCAAATGAAAATGTGCCCTAATATTGTGTAAAAACAATGAATTTAATCCAAACCACAATAAATGCAGCAGCCACAGAATAATCTCCCATGAGGATAAATGAACACTGATTTACTTCCTCCTTTCTCTCTAATTAATCAAAGAATTAGAACTCTGCTGCTGACATGACTTGGCAAAAAATGTATGTCAGACAAAATGAGAACATGTTCTCCTTTTGTCTTCCTCTAAAAGATATGAAAGATCCTTCTTTTATGTAGCATAATGGGAGATGACTTTATTATTTCCATTTTAAGCAAAAGGGAATTTGAAATCTTTACGGATTACTCTGAATCATTGGAAAGCTAACATTAAATCCCAGTTTCTATTCTGCATACTCCAATTTAATTGATTGTGTGTGTGTTTGTGGTGTCTGTGTGTGTTTTCGGAGATTTTCACAGGTGTAGGTATGCTAGTCTTATTGTATTCGGGTCTTTTCCCATGTAAGATTGAGGTTGTCTTGGCAATGTTTCGGCAAGGTCTCACTCACCATCCTCAGGCTGGTGCTTTGGCCTTAAAACGTGATTGGAGCTGCCATCTTTCTATAAATCTTTTCCAGCACCTTAAAGCTATAGGACATG